TGACTGCTGGCCCTCAGCAATGCTTTTAGTCAACAGACAGACCTGGGTGAGTCTGCAGTACCCCCATCCAAAACTGAGGCAGTCTTCCCACGAAAGAGTTTTACCCTACACCTGAAACCCATGCTTCAAATCACCCAGCTCTCTGCAGTAGAGGGAATGAGACCATCTCCTTTACTTTGCAAGCAACCCCTACATGAGGGCAGTGGCAAAAGACAGCCTCAAGTGACGCAAATTTGACATCAGACCGCTTTGCTTCCCTTGCACCACAGTAAATTCCTCTGTGGATGGCACAGTCAAGTTGGCTGGCACCAAATGTGCAACAAAGCCACGAAATAACTTACAACAGCTACAGCGGCAGCTACTCACCCTCCTGCAGCGGCAGCGTGGAGGCATGTTCTTCCAAAACTATCAGGGGTGTCTATTTCAAAGCCTGCAGACAGCACGTGCTCATTACTAAACAAGGACACTATGCTATACTTTTGTCCTAGTTAAACCACAAGAAACATTGCAGAGACAGAAAAATCAGTTAGTTGGGAAAGAAACAGAACACAAGCAACTACAGTCAGAAAGAGGTTGTCAGGGGAACGGCGAGCAGCTGCTCCATCCAGTTTGGCAGCTCTATAAAAAGAGCTGCAAAGGCAACGAGCATCTATTTCCACATCCAGCTCCTCACCACATCCCTATTTAAAACAGTGTGACAGGCATTTATGAGACAGATACTTATCAAGAGGACTGCAACAGCAGGACATGAAGACAGAAAACATGAAGAAATGAGGAAAACCCACAGAGTCAGACTGAACATGAAATAGGGCCATTTTTACTGCATGTGGTTTTCGGGTTGGAAAGAGGCTTCCAGGAGATATTCAAAGATGCACAAGGCCAAAGGATGTAAGCCTGGCAGTATTAACTCTGGTCACCCAGAGCTGCTGCTCTCTTTTTAGATCTAGTGGTCTAGTCCAGTGCACACAAAGGTTTAATGAAATGGGTATGTGACTACCATTTTCCACGCTTTATCCTACAGGACTCAAGTTTAGGGGGAAAAGTCATTGTAGGAGATTTTAGGTGTATAGTAACAAAGCAATTTCCTAGAAAAAGCATATGATTTGCCTTGTGATTTTTTAATTCATGGGAACTCTGGCCTGGAAAGAAAGAATTTGGGATTTGGCACCTGATAATGCCTCTTTTGTAACACTTGCATCAGCAAGCTCCTTCTCCTTCTGCTTTGGGCTCTGGTGAGGATCCTGAGAACTGCTCTCTCAACACTACACTTTCACTCTTTTCCTATCCCGTGCCCACAGATCTTTGGCCAGCCTAACTCCTTTACTCTGTCCAAATTCAGAAACACTTTAGCTGTATCTAAAATATGACATCATCAGTGAGATGGAAATACCTGCGGCAGTGCAGGCCCCAAGGAGGTAATTTCCTTAACTATTCCTTTGGGGAAAAGAACCCAAAACAAAACAGTATCTCACAGTCCTACAGGTTGGAAAAAGGGTCCTCAATTTCCTCCCTCCTCCTGGTGAATTAATATAAACTCTCTAAACCTTCCAGGAGAAAAGAATTCCGGGCATGAGCAGTACAGGATGTGAGGAAGTACCAGCATGCCGTTAGGAAAGCCTCGCGTGCTCCCGTACATTACAGCACACAGCCGAACACAGCAGCACAGGAAGTCTTTCATTTGAACAATTCACAACAATGAGTACAAAAGGGGCCACAAGCAGCAGAGACACACACCACTGGAGCTCCACAGACACTGTGGGATTTACTTACCCGATGACAACAACTTCCTGCAGCAGTCTGAGTGAGCATTCAGCGCCGCTAAGTGTAAAGGGAACATGTTGTGGATCCCACACCTGAAAGGCACAACAGCCTCATTACACACAGTGATGTGAAAATGCAGGTTACATACAGACACGACATATGAAAAGCTCCTTCCTCAAAAGCAACATTATTTATCCTTTTCAAGGAAGATTCTTCCTTGGTTCCTACCATTTATTTTTATCTATATTTCCTTAGCAGCCTTCTTGGGAGTTAAAAATATTCTGATACAGCAAAATCTTGGCTTTATGCTTTGAACAGAATGTGGCAGGAAGGTTTCTAAAAATTCAAGGCAAAAGCCAAGGTAAGGGAGGAAGCAAGAGAGCAGATATTTCTTGGAGTCAATTTCCTGGCGTGGGATGCACAAATTACTGCATCAGCCACGGATACTGCAACTGCCATTCTGAGGTGTAAGTAAATGCCTAAATCTTCTTAATACCTTTTTCTGAATCCCGTTTTTCCTGCAGTTAACATCCTTCAGATAACTCTTATGTGGGTTTTCAAAGCCTCCCCCCTTCTTCCCTATCTCTCCTCTGGGGTTAGGGTAGCTGAAAGCTCTTCACGCTTTCCTTTAGACTGCTGTGACACACACAGTTTTCTTCCCACATCCTAAGAACCAAACATCTAATTTTCCTATTTGCTCCAGCTACTTCTGCTCACAGTCTTTTTCACTTTTTCCCCACTTCTGACACATGACTCTCTTTTCAATTACACTATGAACCTCCCAGAGCAGGCATGTTGGGTAAAAAAAAAAAGTAGGCACCTATCATGAGGCTCAATCTCTATCAGGGAACCACATAGTTTTTAAACAAGCTGAGCACTCACTGCAGCTTTTATTAATATCAGCAAATGCTCCCAGTTCAGTCCCTAAACATGCCACTGTTTACAGTCTCAGAAGACTTTTGGTTTTGGACATCTTGGCTTCTGTCATTTAGCATTGTTATGTGAAAATCATCTTGTTATTCTAGAAGTATTATCCTACCGGCAGCCCTCCAAGCGCACATAAATAGGGAGCCTCTGAAACCAACTATCTCAACAAGATTATCATCTCCTGCCTGCTTCAGCAGATGTATTTTTGAAGAATGACAAGCTCTGGGACAATAGCAGATGGATTCATATCTGCCCTTCGTTCCTGCAAGACAATTGGTGGATAGGTGAGTATGATCACCTTGTGGAAGAGGAGATAAGATATGGATCCAAAGATGAAGGAACTTGTCTTTCTGCAAGACTCACAGTAAATCATAATAGCTTACAAAGCTTTAGACAAAAATGAAGGTGGGTGTTTATAAAGACACTTTACTCTCTCCAACATTTTATACATAAATGTATTTAACTAAGTTTGGTTCATTTTTAAGAAACTTACTGTTTCCAGAATCCACAGGCCCATCTTTCCTGTGTCTTCACACTGAATGTGTCCTCCTCACTGCTTCACTACACTACAGAGTGACTTGTGGTGCTGTACAGATTTTAATGTTGCTAATGTCAGCATCTACATCTAAGAGCAAATATGTTAAAAGACAACCTCACAGCCTATTCTTCGAAGGGAACAGCACAAGCTCTGCCCACCTGCTGCATCTGATAAACAGGTTGCATTTTTTAGCTGTGGATTCATTTACTTAAGATAACATTGGACACTGTATTGCTGTGCTTCTTCCTACCCCCATTTCTCTCTATCTCCTCCTCCACCTAGTTACCTGAAGCAGTATTTTTCTTCTTTTAGGTCAAGATTTCCACTCAGCACATGATTTGGCCAGTTTCCATCAAAAAACACTATCTGCACATCTGCTCACCAGCGTCACACTTCTATACTGTTCACACTGGTTCCTCCCATCGCTCACACATTTTCCCCTTTACATGCAGTTGCCTCAAAGACTGATTGATCTGTCTGCAGTTGTTGCTAACAACACTGCAGAATTTTCACAGCCAGTTCAGGGAGCTCAGCCAGAGTTATTTACATGCAGCACATACAAAAGCCCATTCCCAGTGTTTCAATGCTCCTTGTTTAGCACAGACAGCATCACTTGGATCTGCCTGGTATCTTTGAGACAACTTCTTATTTCACTTATTTCTGCTACTGGAAAAAGTATATTATTTGATCAACGTTCCAGTCAACCAAGTGTGAAATAGAAATTTCTAACTAGATAATCCTGATTCCAAGAGTGGACTATCCCACTGCATCTCATTTTCCCTTTAAATCTCAAGATAAGAGAGTTACTGTACTGGAGAAAGAGCTAGGAAAAATACACATCTATTTAGACACCAAGATCTTCATGCTGCCTATGTTAATAAACCCCAGTGACATTAGCTGAAGCCTGTGGAATTCCATTATCCATGCCATCTGAAGATCTGTTCCACACCGGTTTGCATGGTGACAGTTGTACTTGATAACAGAATATGAGAAAATGTGCCAGTTTCTTTAACACCATCAAGTAAACAAACAAAGTACCAAGAGCTGCAAGTACCTTCAAAACTGAAACCAGCTCATTTGCATCTGCAAGTGGGTTTTCCTAACCAGGCAAGTCAAGAAAAATCACCAATTTCTATGGTAGGTTCTAGGTAGAAGACTCTTAAATTATATATATTATATTACGTGGAGGTAGTTGCCAAAAATTTACATTCATGAAATCAGATACTGCTATTAAACACCTGGCACAAATATCCCTCATAGCACTGCATTCCTTTGGTCTTACACCCCTTTCTTTACCTTTAGGTTGGCTATTTTCTCTTGACAGATCATAAGAACCTGAACATAACTAACCAATACTCAAGTACTCTTAAAAATCAAGCACCTGTCAATGTTTGAGTTGACAATAGTTATCATACTGTGGGTGCAGTCTTGACGTGTGCAAGAGAAAAGAACTGAATTGAAGCAGAAAGCACTAACAACATTTAGAAATGTGTGTAATTTCAACTCCTTCTCCTTTTATTCAAGAAAGACTCCCAAACTCATGAATCAGATAAAAGCAGTCCTATCATTTAAGCCACCTGCATATCAGAAACCATGCAACATCAAGACAGGCTCTACTTCTGTTGAGATCAGAAATACTTAGTAACACCTGCTTTGCAATACTGCATTTATATTGATTATCCTATGTCATACCAAGAGATACAAAACAAAAGAACCAGCACCACGTCTGACAGGCCGCTAAACATTAAGCTAATTTAGATACTAAGGAATATGCCTTGGAAGGCATCTGAATTTTTTTCAGTTATGTTTCCTATATGAACTCATTGCTATGGACTTTCTGGAATAACTGTGATCAAGATGCACTTTACATACATACCTCCTTCATGTATGTTACATACCACTGTGCCACATCAATGCTTTAGGAAAAAAAAGCAGTACTTGTAACCATGTAAATGGGCACAATAGGAACATAGTAGGCTTTCTTTCCCCTCCACACTTCCCAAGTGTTCATATATTATCCTCATGTCACCCACTCAAATACAGTACAGTTATGCTTGTCCCTTTTGACCTTCACATTTCAGAACGTGAGATGTAACTGTGTTTCCAGGCATCACACATAACACTTGATCATTAGAAACAGCTCCACTTCAGCCACCTACTTGGCAGTATCAGCTCCACTCGTTATGAGGGTGTTAATCAAAAGCTCATGTCCGTATCTTGCAGCCACGTGTAGAGGGGTGTTACCATCCTTATCAACACAGTCGATTTCCCCTCCTGCAAAAAATGTTTTATTACAGTTTAAGACTGAAAGATTAAGCACGAACCAGAGACCACAAATGTTATTTCTCTCTAGCGAATGCAGCGTAACCAAACCAGCCACAAAGACACTGAATTTCAGAGACCAAGAACCAGCACACGGCAAGCTGTCTGCTGTCAGCCACTGGTACTGAACATGGTCTGGCAGCAGCACCTTCACCTCTCTCTCCAGCTACAGTGGTGGAGAAAAATGATGGGAAATAGATGAATAGGATGATATACCACAGTCAAGTACATGATTCAGACTTGCTGCTCATCTAAAGGCACAAACAGATGCTTCAAATTAAACTAACTGCTGAAACTATGCTCTCATTCATCAAAGCACTGCTACTCAACCTTACCTGTAAGACAGCAATGTTAAACAGAGTTTGTCCAAGGGGCCAGCAGGAACACACTACAAACAAGCAGCATGTTGTGTGCCTCTTCTGTGCCTTACCAAAGAACAACCAAACAGTGCTTAAGTAGAACTATTGCAATTTAAGCCTGTCATCTTGTGGTTTATGCTCACAAGCAGGAAAAATACATTATTTCTTTCTTCTGTGCCACGGCTTTTGACCCACACAAAGATTGCTATCAAGCCCTTGTTTTCTTTTTGGACGAAGGAACCGTAACTTTTTCAGTCTCCCCTTGTAAGTCAGGTTTGCTGCACTCCAACTGTTCTCATTCTTCCCTCGGTCCTCTCCAGCTGGCTCACATCCTTCTGGAAGTAAAATGTCAAAAGCCAGAAACAGTACTAGGGCTGACGTCTCCTAATGCTGAGCTGAGCAAAATGATTACTTCATGCCCGCTGGCTCCGCTCCTATCTATACACCCCTGTACATTGCACAGCACCATGTACATTGTTGATCATTTTTCTATGCACCATGACACAGTTGATCTGTGGTCACAAGCTTCTGACCCTTTACAAGCCCCAGCTCCCTTCTTGAGGAGCTGCCACCCACCTGGTTGTTGTTATTCTGAACTTGTCCAATTGATATTCCTGCTTGTGTGGGATCTTTGCTTTGTTTTACTTGCGTTGTAACTTCTGTCTCCAGCTTTACAGGATCATTTTCCATTCTGAATCCACCTTCTGCCAAACTAACAGTCTCTCCCAACTTCATGTTTTCTCCAAATGTTAAAAGCACATTTTTCTGTTCCTCTGTCCAAGTTGTTAATGAAAATACTGGATAGTTTCAGGCCCAGGAGGGATACTGAACACTGCCTCACTACACCTTCCATTTCAACAACAATCCATTTATTACTAATCTCCAAGTGTAGTTTTTCAACAAGTTATGCAGCAACACTGTGACACTGTAATACTCCACTAGTTTTCTATGAGAATACTTTATAAAAGCATGTAAAAAGTCTTACTAACATCAGGATATGATAATACTTACTGCATGTCCACTATTCACAGGAGATAACAGGCCATAGCTGCGACAAGAAGAGTTCTAGTAAAGCACTATACAGCATTTTCTAACTAAATAAAGGTCAGTGAAATGCTGAGACACTTTCCCTGGGATGGAGCCTCCACCAGCGGAGGTCTCCACAAACAGTACTTGCCCGCAGAAAAGTGAGAGGACTGTGCTGTGTTCACAAAGCCTACTACCCTGCAGGTGGAAGAGAATGATGATGTTTTGGCATCTTCTAACTCTTAAGAACACTATGCCAGATATTGCCCACTCCTCCCTAAGTGCTTACAAACAGTTTGTGCATTTGCTCATGTCAGAATTTTTGGCTGACCTGTGTAAAATTCTCCAGCTTTTTCACCATTTTAAAGATAGGGGTTACATTTGCAGTTTTCCAATTTTAAGGTAATCAGTTCTTCCTCTACAAGCCGCTAGAGACAGCAGCCCGAAACTGAGACATCTTTAGCCAGCTCATTAAGTACTGCAGAATGAAACTCCATTTCTTAAAGTCATTGACATTTCTCTCTTCCACGATATCCCATGGCAATGAGGCATAAAGTCACTTGCAACCAGATCTGTGTACAACACTAAAATTAGAGGGGCAGCAAATGAAGAAAGAAAGAAGTGAAACCCAAGTATCTTGGAGTAGAGAGGCGTGAATGACAGATGAAGAACTTCCAGTCCTTTCACACACAAATCCAACAAAGAGCAAACAACAGCTCTAAGTCAGAGACCATATTTGACTAAACAACCAAAAATTGCACTAAAGCAGAGTTTCTTCCAGTTTGCCTGAACTCCTTTTATTATTACTATTTTACTTATCCAAGAAGAAATATGACAACCGTTTGCATGATGACCTGAAAGAAGCATGATGTACTGAAGACCTCCATTTTAATATACAATTGCGTGTAAATATAGGTGTCATTACATTTACAGTGTAACTGTTCAACCATCTTCAACATCTCGCACTTAGGCTCCAAGTTAGGGATTTTGGAAAACAAAAAAAATCAAACCACCAGCCCCAGAGCATCCTGTCTGGCATAGTGGCCAAAGCTGGGAAGCATAAGTAAGCAATCTGTAATAGCAAGCTCTGTCAATCAGAAACAGGCCTCTGCCAGATCTCCAACGATAATATTTGTTATACTTTGTAGGTTTCTTGGACAAAGGAGATACCTGATAAATGACTGATAATCAGGAATCTTGGCTATGCCAGAACAAACAGGTTGGCACTGATCCAACACCCTTAGTACTTATTCAACACTTAATGAAGACAGTGGCAAGGCGTAGAGCTAAGGGAGGTGAGAGAAATACAGTTACTGAGCAGAGGGTAGAGAAAATGGTCTGAATTCTAAGAACACCAGAGCTCCCAAGGGAGAACAACCAGGGTTTTTTCCTGGTTTTAAGTAATCTGAGAAAGAAAGTTGTGCCTGCTTCTCAGCAGAAAAGACAACCTAAATACAGCTCTGAACTCTAGTTTTCAGGTTAAGAATCACAACAGATCAGCTGGACCACTGTCAGCTGGAGGAATACAGGATTCTGTTAACAACCAAAATCTCAACTTGTAATGACATGCTGGAATGAGAGCTGTCAGAGCAGCTCAAAGCCAGAAGCTGATGGAGAGCTAAGCAGCTCTCAGAGCAGCCCTTTGGCACTCTGGGTCAGAACAACTAAACACTGCAACCTTGGAAATGCCTTTTGGAGAGTCATTAACCAGGCACAAAAACTTACCATTCTGAATGAGGGTCTGTGACCGCGTGAACCTCCCATGGACAGCCGTCATGTGCAACGGGCTCTTCCCATCCTTACTCTAACAGAAACAAACATAAACCCAACCATTTAGCATGTAAAGTGGTGGTAACAATTTGAATTATCTCAGCTCAACATCCTACAGACAAAACCTCTATTGGCTTCAAAAGTCTGTAGAACTGAAGCTGTATGTGATGACAAATGCAGAAGGTATAAACATATAAGTAAAATAGTTCCTCAGCAATGAGTAGCAAATGGGCTGGAGTAGAGCCTGTCCTTACAGCCTGGCTGTACACAATACATGCTAGAAACCTACAGATTTATCACATATTATTCTTTAATATTATTTTTAAGTAACATTTCCAAATCAGTCAATATTTTCCCTAACATCTGCAACGAGAGGAATAAAGAAAAACAGAGGAAGCATAAAACTAAGTAAAAGCAGTCTCTGAGGGATTCAAGAACTATATCCTGTTTATCATCTACATTTTATAGCTACATCCCAGAATTAACCCCATTATATTAAAAAGTTTTGGTTAATAAATTTCCATACAATCAAAAATAGGATGTCTACAAAATACAATCAGAAAACAGGGAAAGAATGTGAAAGGAAAGGTACAATGAGTAGAGGTTAATATTTTTTATTCTAGGGAAATAAACTGAGATTGGGGAAGCTGAGGAGCTGAGAAAACAGCAAGGGAAGGGTAGCAGCCTCACTACTCACATCACTTCGTGTTTATTGGCATGGGGTTTTGCATTCTTTGGCAAGCAAATCCCTAATTTCATTTTAATAATTGTGAGTTTAAATAATGCACTGACTACTCACTGATCTAAAGGGACTTGCCAAAGGTGTTAAATGCTAAGAGACCAGTTTTACAGATGGGAAATTGAAACAGAATTTGAAGTACAGTAGTCAAAATCTTGTATGAACTCAGAGATGTCAAGTCTTCCAGTATGTATACCAGTACCCTCTGCTGGATAACAGCAAGGCCCTTCCAGCTTCATCAAGATGCATCAATTATATCTCAAGAATATACAGATATCCTAAAAGAATCAGACTTTGTAAACTCAGGCTATAAAACAGGTAAATAAAAAACCTTTAGATTTTACTTCCCCGGGAAAATCAAAAGGAACTTTTTAGAACCAGGTTTAATTAAATCCATACTGAAGGGGAAGGAAAACGCCAGCAAGGAATGTTCCTTGACTTTCCACCACTACCCAAGATAATATTTTGGTAGAGCTCCTGGGACTATATTTTAGTAGTGATTCATGCCTTCAGGAGAGTTGCTGGCCTAAAGTTTAAAGCTGTCATTATATTTATCAAGGTACTGAAAGCTCCTCTGCTGGGAAGCAATCTCATCCAAACAGTTTAATTATCAACTTTCTCAGCATCACTCTATTTCCATCAAGGATTTAAAGCCATGCTGTCCTCTTTATTATAGTTTCCAGTGTCCTGAGATATGCAAAATGCGATAAAGTAAAACTAAAGAGCTGAAATGGAAGTTTTACCTGTAGGTTAACATCTGCTCCATTATTCACTAGTAGTTCAAGACACAGTGCGCCGTGAGTGGAGGCAGCAGCGAAATGCAAGGGAGTGAATCCATTATTATTAGGCTGATTTACATTAGCACCGTAGTCAATCAGCTCATTAACAACAGAATCCTGACCATTGTAACAGGCAATGTGAAGTGCAGTATTTCCATAGATGTTCATTTCATCAATCTAAAATGAGACAAGGAGACATAGTTAAAACTACAGACATAGCTAACCATTTTACATAACACATTGCATACTGTGAATGGAAATAGCTGGAGGCTTGAACTGTCACAGGACATATTTCTCACCAGCAAATTTAATTGACAAAAATATACTCCCAGAGAGCTTAATTTGGAATGCTTTACCTTTACTATTAGTAACTTTTTATCCTACTGGCCATTTCTAAAAGCCAGTATGAAGCTCAAAGCTGATAGCAAGACCGTGTAATGCTGGTGATGATGACAAAAGCTGGAAAGCCTTTACACATAAGTGGGAAAGCATGATAAATAAGAAGCTCACAATCTTTATTAAAAAGTCATTAAAACACTGACTGTAGAATTTCTGTGAACAGAATCAGGCTTAAGAGCTCTTTTTACAGATTTCTTTTGGGAAGGGAAAGACAGTGCCGGAGTGAAGGGAAGGTGAAACTGCACAGCCATTTACACTTCAATAAGAAATCACTTTTGGTAGCCAGCATTATAAAGATGCAATTAAGATTATGTTACTTCTTGATGACTGGCTTTGTATTCAACTGCTGTTCTGTAAAATAGGACAAGACAAGATTGTACAAAAGATCCAGCAGTGATGTGAATACACAGGCGTCTCAAAGATCACACTCCCAGTGGTGGAGAATGTGGAAGTTAAAGGTAGCTATGAGCATAGTACTGTTAATAACAGGAAACACCTATTCCCCTTCAACTTCACAGTTTACAGCCTGTGAACATGGACTTTTGACATTTTGTTGGCAGTTGAAAATGCCATGGCAAATGTAATGGCTTTATTTGACATCTCTGATTAACCAGTACAGGCTTTTCTGGTCCTCTCACTGCTGCTTTGAACCACTTACACTAAGAGAAGTTTGCGCCCTGAAAAAAAGTTCTTTTACAGAATTAAAGCAACCCTTTTCCTTCCCTCTGTCAGCTACAGAGGAAATACAGGTCCCTAAACTTAAACAGTTTGAACTGCTGTTTAGTAAAGTTTGCAGTGTATATGTTGAGAACAACCATTCATCATATCAAGGGGAACGCTGAGCCAAGGGAAATTTCATTATTCCATCTTCCTCTGCAGGAACAGCATGTATTTCCTGATTTCTTCAGCAAGGTGGCCTGGAACTTACAGTCCATATCAGACATTTTTTATTCCAGAATGTTTCCTGGCTCTTGAACTAATAAACCACATGAAGCACAAGGTGGTACAGAAAACAGGAACAATTTTCTTTAGAAGATCTGCCAATGTCTGTAGCAGCATCCATAAGAAAGAAGAAAATGATATCTCCAAATATGGAGAAACATGGAAACCACCACATACCTCTACCCCCAGGTTAAGGAGGTGTTTCACAATGTTAATCTGCCCATTGGATGCAGCTGCATGAAGTGGGGTGTAACCCTTCTTGTCTTTACAAGTCACTTCTGCACCATGATTAATCAGTAAGGCAACAACTTCCAGGTGACCTTCAAAAGATGAAAGATAGTAATCAATGAGGATACCATCCCACAGCACCACTTGGCCCACATTACTGTTTTGTTGTTAATGCACTGCCCCTTCTGCTGCTGTTTCATAATGCTGCCACAGTTTTATAAAGGGAAAAAAAGCATGCTCATAAATAAATCCTTGTCAAGAAACCCATGCATTCGCCATCAGCAGATGTGTCAGATTTCTCTTTTCTGCATTAATTTTCCAGTCATTAAAAGAACAAAACCACACCTCTTTTCCATTTATTTCTCTAAAAAATAACAGTTTGAGGTTTATTCTCCCTGTTAAAGAAAAAACAGTGAGCACAGGAGCACAACAATACAAAACAGCATCCTATTGGTGTCATCTGCAAACACAACTGCTAACACTTGTTGGTTTTTGTTAGCAATACAAAATAACTTTCATAAATGATAAAATGAAGGTATCTCCTCTCTCCTAGCACCATTGAGGACACAAAAAGCTGAATTTCAAGGGAGTGCAGAATTTGATCCAAAGCCTACCAACACAAACACAAGAATTTCTACTGAATCCACTGATCTTTGGATCAGGTTTTGACTCTTCAAAACCGTATCATTAACACAAAAATGAGCAAAAAAATCCTGAATATAGGTCTAAAAATGTTTGAATCTGAACTCAGAGTCTAAACACACATACTCAGTCTGCAAACTAAAATAACTGCAATAGCCTCAATGTCACACAGATTGAGAGCTGACTGCCAGATCTATGGGACATCTGTCTTCAGGAGTGAAATGCCTACCGCTGAATCAGGATCTCCCTACAGAATATAGGGGAAGAATTAAGCAACTCAAAATGCAATTTATAACCCACCAGTAGCTCCAGTTTCCTTCTCTCCCTGAAAGTCTGAAACCAACAGGCCTGCCTTCCAGGATAGTGCCCTAATCACCAAATTAAATCAAGGCTAAGGAATAGTCCTTATTGCATCGTATTGTAGCAAAGCTGTCTTAGAATTAAAAATCTGTTATAATAAACAGCATATAAAGTTGTGCACCATCTGAGTTGCATAGCACTTTCACGACAGGCAGTTCTGGACCTAGGGAACTTTATGGACAAAGCCTGAAGAGCCCAAAGATACTTAAGCATTCAAGAAACTACATGAGGGTTTGTAGGGTAAGATGCTCGGGTCTCATTATCTAAATTCTGCCCAAATTACACCAAAGTCCAAATAACATTGATAATTTAGGCCTTAAATATTATCTAAATATTTTGAAAAGTACATTGTGAATTTCTGATAATAATTAAGAGCACAAGAGACGTGGAATTGCACAGCACAATGTAAATCCTTTCACCTCTACAGAGTGGAGTTCAAAGCTCGCTAGCTCAAAAGCCAAATCACATTCACTGGCAAGTCTCTCCATCTGTCTGTGTACATCAAAAAATGCACAATATGCTTTTCACACAGTTTGAAATCTCCTATTGTCTCATTTCTAAAAGTGCCAACATTAAAATCAAGGTTTCGACAGGTCACATGAAAGAGTTGCTAGCAGAGGGCACACAGCACCTCACCAATTATTATCTGGAATATACTGCTTGGCCAACAAAAGCTCTTGAACAAGCGTGACCACTCTCACAGGCAATCTTGTTCTGGCATTTTTAAATTATAATGCCCCACTATAAGAAATTTTCCTTTAACTTGAAAGAAATTATAAGGTCAATCGATTTAATTAAGGAATATTTGGTAACATCACTGACATTTTGAATAGAAAGATCAGTTGCTCTTATCCACTCTGGAATAAAAGACAATGATTTGTTCCTAACAGGAAGAAAGCCTATGAAACACTTCCTAACAATATCATAACTTAGCTACTTATAAACATAGATAAACAGCAAAATTTATGATCACATTTATGTGCATTTTACATAAAGTAGTTTTTAGCAAAAATGGAAACAAATATAAACTGTATTTTTTTCAAGCCCAAATACTTCAGGCTGGAGTTAAGAGCCAGGATAAAAAGACTAAAATGAAAAAAGCAACACAAAAAGACTACAATTAACTGTGTTAGAAAGGAAATCACAGCCAAGTCCTCACCAGCTGTAAAACTGTAAATGGACAGTGTGTATTTAGACCTTCCCTCTTCAGGGCAAATATAATACTTATTTTCCATGACCAGGTCTGCTCTTGTCCATTTTAAAACATGCTGTTGATTTGTAAACAGGAGATTAAGAAGAAGGAGCAACAGTCCAAGCCTTACCCATGTACGCTGCCCAGTGAAGAGCTCTTCTGTCTTTTTTGTCAAAAGCATTGATGTTTGCCCCCTTGGCTAAGAGCAAGTTCACCATCTAGAAGTAACAACAAGTAAACCAACCCTGTAGATCACACACTCAACAGTTTAGAACAAGTAATTCTAGCAATAAAGTTGGGATCACAAAATCCTGCTGTTGAATGATAAATCTGTACATTACACAAATACTGTTCAAAGCTGTGTGCATTAATGACATGGACTGGAGATGGTCATGAGTTAACCCAGACAAGTTCTGTGTCCACAGAGGGGGCATGCTTCAAATTCAGCTTGTCAAACAACCTGGAAGGAAAGCAGGCCTGGAAGAGAAACATTACTCCTAAAACCAATTTAAGGGGTTATCTTGTCCATTAGGGCAAGATTCCTCCAGACCATGAGGTGACAAGTGAAATTTGCATGATCTTTCAACTAGGAGTTCCTATTTCTTGCCATGCCATGGTGATTTTTGTTAAGTTCCCATGTGCCATGGTGGTGTGGACAGGCACCAGGCTGCTTCACACAGGAGTGGCCTTTAGACAGCATGGCTAAAAGGTGAAAAGCTGCTTTCCCCATTGCCAATCATCCAATATTAAAAATAAGAAAAATCAGGGGGGAGAAAAAAGGGAACCGAATGGAAAACACATTCAACAACTGTCTTTCTCAGCAAAACATTCTAAAATCATGAATTACAGAGCTAGATGATTATATAACTCTTGTACACTGCTTTGCCACAGAAATAGGCTAGTAACAGCATATATTCAGTTAACATCTCTCATATACTCTATCCAAAAGCTCAGGAGCTTTAGATTATGAAAGTTAGACTCAAGCATTACTATCTCTTTCCTACAGTGCAGTATTTTGAAGGCCAAATACCATCATTGTTTTACAGGAACCACCATTCTTCTTCCTTCTTTTAATAACAGTACAACTGATCAGCTTCTGTTGACAGAAGCCTACTGGTCAAATCTAAGAGGTTTTATTCCATATCTAGATCTTCAGGTGTGGAATTTGCACCTGGACCTAAAGACATTAGCAAAACCCTTTACATAGGGGCTTTATTTACAAAAGTTTGGGTTTTTCATATAGGAACTATAGGCTGGAAGGGTTTGCTTATATAAAATAAGTAGGAATAGGGGTCAGGGGCATGGGGCTCAGTCTAGACCCAGCCACAGCAGGTCAACTGTTTGAACTGGGGAAATCAACTGATTAGTTATGGTCTTAAACAACTTACCTCGATGTGGCCATTCAGAGCCGCATGGTGCAGTGCCGTCCGCCCGCCTCGGTCAGAGACGTTGACGCTGCTCAGCATGGGGATGATGACCTCCGCACACTTCACCGCCTTGTTTGCAGCCGCCACGTGCAACGGTGTCTGCCAGTTCTTGTCCCGAGCATTGACATCAGCTGAGTGCTTAATCAATACTTGCACTGCCTCCTGCAATGGCAACACAGTTATATCCATACCTTTTTACAAGGGCATGTAGTGACAGGACAAGGGGCAATGGTTTAAAAGTGAAAGAGGGGAGATTTAGATTAGCCATTAGGAAGAAATTCTTTACTATGAGGGTGGCAAGACAATGGAACAGGTTACCCAGAGAAGCTGCATCTACCCCATCCCTGGCAGTGTTCAAGGCCAGGTTGGACAGCGCTCTGAGCAACTTGGTTGAGTGGAAGGTGTCCCTGCCCGCAGCAGGGGGGTTGGAAATAGATGATCTTTAAGCTCCTTTCCAACCCAAACCATTCTGTGTGTCTATAATCAAGCAGTTTGAATAAATACATGGCCCACCTTCTCGACAGCTCAATCATATTACCTATGCATATTACTTATGCATATCAGACATGGCCAGGAGGAGGGCAAGAGAACAGCATTTATCGAAACAACCTTCCAGGCTAGTGAGATGGTACTGTTGATTCAGATGCCAGAGTGCACATCACCTCGGCTGTCATTTAAAGCACTGTCCTCATAATCAAACTTTCCCAATTTGGTTTTCAGATGTACAAAGCTGCCTATGCAGACAGCCTAGCCTGTCCAGTTGGTTAACCTTCAGTACCTCCACCATCATAATTGTGCTCTCACTGAAGAAATAAATGTGCTTATTTGAGCTCACTGTTACAGAGATTATTTACAAAATAAAAAGCACATGATTTGGGACAGTAAAATCATAGCAAATTGCAGTAAGTTTTATTTATAAACAGGAAAAAGGAGAAAATAAAACAGAATATTTGAAAACAAGATCTTAGCTCTGCAAAATCATGAGAATCACAGGCAAGGGTTGATGCTGGTGTCCCCAAGTTAACATCAGCATTCCTTTCCTCCCTGAGGGCTATGCACAGGGCAAGCGTCTTCACTGCAACATCCATTCTGTCAGCCTGAGACCAAAAAACATCTTTTAAAGTTAATTTTGTTGGTTTAAAAGTGAATATTTCCCAGTGAATGTTTCTCTTGAGAGGCTGTTTCACTGGAGAATTCACAATTAGTTCTTTCCTGCTTCTACTCATACATCTGCCATTAAGCAAGTCAGATGAAAAAACAAGTCTCTCTGAAAATTACGTTTTGTTTCTTCCTTTTTCCCCACAAACGGAACACAAAAGAACCACTGGGACACAGTAGCATTCAAGTAGCCTTGTCTGCTAATTACAACTCACAGCTGGTAAGTGGGAGAGCCCCAGTCCTACACAGTACCTTATTCTTTTCCCATAAACTGAAAAGTTTTCTGGAAAGCCCAGCCAAAGTTTTAGTAATGAACAACAAACACATACAGTGTGACTATATAGCAGTTTTGCATCCTGAATGGCCCAGGAGAGTGCCTGCAGTCTGTATCAACAGTACATCCACTACTAGGAGTTTTAGTTCTTTGTCCTCAACCGATCTCAGCAATTTCACTTTCTACAGCCATCTCTCAAACTGTCCTCTAATGGATTTGTTCAGTTACCAATACTGCATCTCTTACAGCACCAATATATATATGACTGTTGTTGTCTCAACAGGATTTTGTTTTTTAATTACAGGCCTACTCTTAAGAGTCATTTAAATGTCATTCACTGGAGACCTGTAATTCACTCCATGACCTGGGACGTGAAGTTAGCAGCAAAATTCATGCACTTTGAGTCTTAATGAAGGAAATTTAAAAGGTTAAAGGAGAATTTTTGGAAGTAAATAGTAAGGACTGAAAAGTATAAGCTAAAAATATTTAGACTTAAAAAACCTGCATCAACCATTTACACATTTTTGTTTATTTCTGCAAATCTGCTGCTCTATCAGATTTGGGATCAAAATGTTAAAGTCCTTATGGAGAAGTTTTAATTTTATTGCTTGTGACAGCATGAGCTATTTCTTTTTAGTAACATATCTAAAAGTGCATGCGGTCCACAGCTACGGTGTAAGCCTCTATATTCAGTGTGTCTAGCTACCCTGAGTTATCAGAGTGAAATCTCTTTACTTTTTCAAAGCACATAAGGCTGAAAGCTGATACATCCATTTCCAATCCTACACAGACAAACCTGAGGGTTGTTGATTTGTAAATAAACATCTGAGATACCTAAAGCCCACTTGAAAACTCATTAAGTCTGAAGTAAAAATGTGCTCATGCTTTCAATCGATCTGTATAAAAGTCCAAGGAGACAACTTCTGAATCCTTGGTAGTAAGAGATTGATAATAAAACTTAAAGCCTATAGGTGATCATTCTAAAAGCAACTGTGCTCACAGGAACTTCAAAAACCACACCAAGTCCTACTGGTCAACTTCTGGATCATTAATTCCTCACCTACTATCAATGTGAACTATGAATTCAACTACTGCTATCAACTACTATCACTATCAGTTTCACCCTATTATATTGAAGCTGCACATTTGTTAGTTTGTGTAGTAAAGTAAAAGCAGCACTGAAAGACCCTGCAATGCTGAATCTTGTTTCAAAGTTATTACCAGAAGTAGCAATCATCATATAAATAACAAAGAAAAAAGACCAGGAGAAGAAAGCCATATGTGTTTATAAAATACATAGTAGACCATGAAAAGGCATCAAAGGCTGGTGCCTTGCCCTGCTGCTTCTCTGTTTTATCTGGGTACTCACTTTGAGGTACCAGAACTGCCAGCACAATGGAAGACAGTTTCTCATTGTGCAATTGGTCTTCAGCTGACAAAGAGTTGAAGATGAGACACAAACCCACAGAAAGACGTATATTTTCTGTTACGACTGCCACTGACAATGAAAATCATGTACTCTGACACATCCAAAAAAAGAAACCAAGCACACTGCAGTTCCTGCATCAGAAAGATTGTGGCTGGTTTTTAAGGTTCGAGTCTGACCTTTGTTTTCCAACATGGCTTTTTGTATTTTGCCTCATTACAGCATTCATAGTCTATCAGATATTCCTTTCAGAGGGTTTCAGTGGATGCCAGCAGCTGGGAAGCTCAGCCAGCAGCCAAACAATGCCCGAGTTCAGAAGCGAGCCCAGGATTCCTGCCTCAAGGCTTGGCAAGCGCTGGGACTGTTACAGAGGTGATTCGAGTCCATCAATCTCTCGAAGACAGCAACTCTCTGTCTCTTTTACAGCTCCTCCCCTCATCCCCAGCAGCCAATTTGGTCTGCAGTTGGGCTCACTGTTAACCAAGTATTAGGAGGATAGAAGTATACAGGGAGGTCCAAAATGGAAAGCCAAGAATAATGGTGCAGTTGAAAACAGTCATGCCTGAACTGCATTCCTGATAGTTATTGCTGCTCCTTTTTGAGATAGCAATGGAAGGAGTACAACACGATGCCAGAAGACTTCCAGTTGTCAAGTAGAAGAAATATGGGCTAACCCTTCTTTATGCATGAATCAAATGCATTAACAGAAAACCTAATGGATGCCTGGAAATGCAATTAACCAAAACAAACTATGTGGTAATACATGTTGGATCACATAAGTATCCACTCCCTTCTGGCGCAGGCACAGCATGTGGATTTATTCCTCTTTATTTCACCCCTTGAAGATGATGTGGCCCCTATAGACTCTATCCTGTTTCTGTCCTGGTCACCTGTTCCAGCTGACGGTTGCTCAGTATGACTTGGTATGGTAATGTAAAGCATTCCACAAGGTAAAAATCAATCACATCCAGGCTCAAAAGCAGCTATAACTAACTGGCAAAAGCTGGCCTCCAGCTGCAATGCTAAAGGCCCTGCACACTGAAAATACTTCCCTGAGTGTGTCACCATGCTACTTACTACTGCTCTCAATGGTTTGCTTTTTCCCCCAGCATGCAGTTTATGTGCAAAAGCAGGGTAACTAAATCTTACTCACTTCACTTCTTGAAGCAACTGCTCGATGGAGAGGAGTCAGCCACATATTGTCCTTGGCATTAACACGAGCGCCTGCAAGTAAACAGCAGAGGTTACATCCATGCCTTGGGTGCGACACTGAAAGCCTTGCCCAACTGTTTCCTAGTAGCAAGAGCTGAGCTGTTTGTGGTACTCTCAGTGCTCCCCATGACTCTCCTGGCACCCTGTTCACTTTGGAACATGCATTTCCAGATCTTGGATAGATAGGAGCTGAAGTGTGATTCAGAAAGAAAGGAACTGGATAGGTCGGACTGTTATCAGGAATAGCTTTGTTCACAGGACACAAAAGAAGCAAGATTTGTTGTAGGAGATTATATATGTATGTATGTACTTGTATGTCTATGTATATGCACTTTTTACATCAATTGATACAGTTGGGGAGGAAAAAAAAAAGCAAACTTTTGCTCAGAGCATGGCTGTTGT